TTTTATCATGACTGTGCAACTTTATTATTTATTATATCTAGACTATTATATCTGTTAATGTTGCTCTGTATCTCCTATTTCCCCTGACCTTGTAACTTATAGAATGATGCTGGCTTTTATCCTGACAAAAAGAGATTTCTGCTTCAACTAATCTGACTCCTGAGAGAGAATAAACAAATCATTGCAATCTGTACCATACAACATTATATTATGGGTAGGAAAAACTATAATTAATTTGGAAGTAAACTAATCTATCAAATTTAACAACTGTGGCATTTTAGGGTTTAACAAGCCTTTTCGCGAGTCATAAAGATAAATCGTCACACAAATCATAACAGAAATATGAAGGAAAATAGATACATTGTTTTTATAAACCGGGTTTCTTAAAAATGAGATAGGATGTGAAACAACAAAGCAAAACCCTTTAATATATTTTATTTGACCTCTGCTTTCCTAGAGTAACTTGATATATTACATTTTAGCTTGATATTTAAATAATAATATCAAATAAAAAACAAGTGCTCATTCTACCTATTATTTGTCATAAAGCTGTAAGAAGGCAAATCATTGCCAGTCAGCTTCTACATTTGCCACGTCACCACTCCAACATCACATAAAGTGTATTGTATAGCACAACAAACTAGGAAGAAGCAGTATTTACTCTTACTCCAAACAACAAACTTAGCTATATTTTTTTCTGAATTAGTTGAACCACTTAGGTGGTTCAGATAAATAAAGTCCTGACAGACGTGTAGATGATAAACAAGCCGTAGGTCAGACTGCAAATATACAAGAAACTTAAAAATCCTGGAGGAGGTAAAAATGGTAATACCAAAACTAATCTCTGACTTTTCTCACTCTTCTTGAGTTGTTTCCTTATTCTCTACTAGGTTTTTCTAATGTAATCTCAATGCTTTTTTTCTGCAGCTTTGGTAGAATTCATACAATGGCTGGTACAGATTGATTTATTTTCTCAGTATGTACCCCACTCTTGTGTTTGTTTTTGCAGCACGGGGCTGATAGTCTGGGAGAATGATAGCAGTGCTGAGCCTGCACAATCTAAGCATTTTTGGTGAAAAAAAAACAGTAAAACTTTTGGGCCAGTTATGTTGTGAAATGTATTTTGGGGATCTGGATGCTTGAAACTCAGGATGCAAGGTATGAGGTGATAATAAGGAGGAGAGGAAATGCTCACATGGTCTTCTCAGAATATGAGCCATTGCATAAGATGAAATTGGACTTCAGCGTTTTCAATTTCTTTTACTAATGGTATTCCCACATGATAAAGAAATATATAAAGGCAAGGCAAGGCATGGCAAGGCAAATTTATTTGTATAGCACAATTCAGTACAAAGACAATGCAAAGTGCTTTACATGATTAAAATACAGAAAGATAAAACAGAATCAAAGCAAGTAGGAAAAAATAAAAAAATAAAAAATAAAAAAATGCAGAAACAAAAAAAGAATATTAAAAACAGTTGGATTAAAGAAAATATGTTTTAGTTGAACTGTTTAACTAGAACAGTCGAAGGCAATCCTAAACAAATGTGTTTTTAGTCTTGATTTAAAGGAACTCAGGCTTTCCGCACTTTTACAGTTTTCTGGAAGTTTGTTCCAGATAAGTGGAGCATAGGAACTAAATGCTGCTTCTCCATGTTTAGTTCTGGTTCTAGGTATGCAGAGCAGGCTGGAGCCAGAAGACCTGAGGGACACTGTGCATCAAGAGGTAAAATGCAGGTATCTCATTCAAACACTATACCCTAACGTTTCACTGCTTCAAACAGGTTTTGTGGCAACGGTAGCCGCCATGTGTCAAAAAGCCTTGATGATGCTGATATAACCATGTCATCTGAAGTGAAGTTTCTTCAAGCTTGCATTTACTGTGATGAAAACCCCCCATTCAACACGCTATACTGTTGAAAAAACTCAATCAAGTCACAGACTCTGCATTACACTGATAACACCAAGCTATAATACTGCATATTTGCACCGTATATATTTGTCTTGAAATGATCTGAATTTCCATATCAATGCCTTTTTGCACCATGTTGTTTTTTCTCCCATACTGTTTACAGCTGATCACTGTTGCACTTTATGAAATGGAAATGTTCAACTCACTGCTAAGCTGATGCTCATTCACTGTTCACTCATTCACTGTCTGAAAGCTATATACCCTCTGTATATACAAAATGAATACACAATAAAAGTTGTCTAAGTCTGTCTAAAGAAGCTACTAAACTCACGTAAACCTACAATTTTGTATAAACAAGATTAGCATATGTTCGCAGGATCTACTATAGTGCTTGATATGGTAACAAGAAACACGGTCTAATAAAACCAAATGGAAAGTTAGCTTTCTGCTAATTTCGACAGTACAGTTCACTTATTGTCAATGAAAAACATGGTAACTTCAGCGACCCTTTTTAAAATATTTTTCCTATATTAGCTCCTTCAACCTTCAGAAGGCTTGTCCAATGTTTATCCTCTTTTTTATGTCTCCGGTTTTCTTGCTCTTAATTTTTACTTTTGTGGGGATGGGAAAGCAGCTTCTTGTGCAGCTGCTGCATATGCAAGGTCCTGCACTGTACTGTAGCAGTGCAGACAATGGTCTTCACATCCACCTCTTAGTCGCACTGAACTGCCAGCAAGGGCAAATATGTTGTATCATTTTATCCCTCAGCAGCATCTTTACTTTCAAGATGGAAGAATGCCATGGCAGTACGTACGCAAATGGGTGACCAGCCTTATTTTTAAAGAACAATTTAAAGTTTTTTGCTTATGAACGTGTGTCTGATTATTAGTGGCGTCAAAAAAATACTAATAATAACACAGTCATTGATTTCAGGCAATATAAAAGTGAGATTATTAACAAATATCCATTTAACCACCAGAAAAACAAATTTTTCAATTCAAGAAATTACTTCGCCATGATTATTGATCATCATTTCAAGATCCGGTCACTGTAATTCTGAAGTTTTTAAGATAAAAGATTATAAAATATATTTCTAATGAAAGCCATGTTTATATATTAATCAGATACCCCAACTAATTTGATGATTCTTAATACATGAAGTTAATAAAGCATCACAAATTTTGCTCCTCTATAGTGTAATTACTGCAGTTGCAGTCACACAAACGTGGTAATATTGATCACATATCACAGTTCTGAAATTAAAAAAAATTGCTAATTTAATCACAGAATAATAGAGACTTGGTTTTGGGTAAACATTAATTGACTCATTCAATCAGATAACATTGTATTCTAAAAAAAGTCTAAAAAAATCTGTCTATAATGATTTTATGAACATTTATGACAGTTGTTAACAAATTACAAGCTTTTTCTAAAAACATTTATTGATGTATCCTTACTCCACTAGTATCTCCTAACCCAAATCCCACATCCTCTGCTCCGCTCTAGAGCGCCTGTGCAAAGCAAAGCCTACAGTCTCTGCGGTTACTCTCGTCAACTTCCTTGGAGCTCAAGGAGAGCATGGGCAACATTATTATTTCATAAGACATAATTAAAACTTGTCATCAGTATGAATCATACATGCTTCTGCCCAAACATTTTCTTTTCGTTGTGGATCTTTTTAATAGGGATAAATTGGTTTGTTCTCTACTTCCAAAATCAGCATCTCTTCCTCCATGCCTGAGATAACAGGTTTGTTCTGAATTGGTGAGATGCGCTTTTGGAAGTTGTTGTGATTGGATTTGATGAAACTGTTAAGCCTCTCAGTTTAAAATTAATATTTTGATCGAGGTGTGAAATCTGCTTCCTGTTATGTGGATGTACCAATAGTTTGCATATATTTATTTAAATAAACAGGGTTCATTTTTGTAAATATATAAGAATTATACTCTATAGTAATTTGTTCTTACCAGTCTGTCATTATCATATTTTAATTTCACAAACCAGATCTTCTCAACGTTGTTTTTCCTGTTTGGTGAGATTGTATAGTGGATCTTGACCTGGCCGGACCGGAGTGGAGCAAAAAATAGCTTGGCTCCGTATTCTGACAGTGAGAGGCGAAGAAGACATATCTGGACGGTGACATGAGGAGGAGTAGGTGGATGTGGAACAGTTCTCATTGATTCATATGACTGGCAAGTACTCTGCACAACATACGTGAGTGAAGCCGAGAGGGAGGATATGGAATCTGGGAGTTACTCCTATGTGAGGCTATATTTGTCCCTTCAACCCTGCTAAGATATTCACTCTTTCTACACTTTTTAACCTAGTGGGGTAAAGAGACACTAGTGGACTTTGTAGGAAAGGTGTGAAGCGTGTTACATCTGGCATAAAACTAAAACTAAATAAACAAAAAAAAAAACATAATCAGACATGCTGGTAGTGATATGATGGTTGGGGGCCACTTTGCATTTGCAGGATTTGGACAACCGCATGTCATTAAATGAGGTACAGTTGTTGCTCTCCAAACGTTACCTGAAAGTCACGAACATTGAGGTAAAGGTTTGATACTTTTGATACATTTTCTCCTGTCACATGTCTGAAATTAAATTGGGTGGAAATCAAATGCAGGGCATCGAGGCATTAGATGGGATTTATGCCACAAGTGTCTCTTTTACTTATTGTTTATTGAGAATATTGACAATGGTGATCTTATCTAACTTAAAGTGCAGCAGCTTCATGTTTTAATCATCAATAAAGTAAAACTGTTAAAAATAAACACATTAAATAGTTATTGGACCTACTAGCTGAGCTTTCTCTTTCAGTTTATAAAATAAGTTTTTCATCAGAAATGTATTGTCTTTGGTAGGGGCCATAAAATGGGACCAGGATCAATTCTAAAGGGGCCCAGGCGCCTGTTTGCCCATATCTAAAACCGCCCATGATTGAATCCAAGAAGAATATTTTCTGGATCCTAGTTTGAAACTTTTTAAGTTGCCATCTCTGTGATAGTTTCCTTGGTGTGTAGAGGAACGCTGCACATGCGCGCCTGGCAGAGGAAGTAAAGTTTGCGCTGCGCTCGTTTGAGCCACAACGTCGCGGCTCCTCCTGTTGAGCCCCTCCGCTTACATTATTCATACGGGCGAGGGTGTGACTTGCTGGCTTTTTCCCCCCTGCCTGTATAAAGCGACAAGTTTGCGCAAAAGGAAACACAGATGGAGAAGGCCAGTCGGTTCGCTGTGTCACAGAGAGTCCCCTTAAGCCCCCGTGACAACTCCCACACCGTCCCTTTGTGACAAGCTTAATCACTATAATGCCCGGTCTCAGTGCCCTTTGTCTTGCCGTCGCCCTGGCTGCGCTCGCCCGGTTCACCGGCTCCGTAGGACCGGTGGTGCGATGTGAGCCTTGCGACGCCAGCGCGCTGCAGAAGTGCAAATCGCTGCCGAATGACTGCGCGGAGACCGTGAGGGAGCCCGGGTGCGGCTGCTGTATAACGTGCGCCCTCGGCGAGGGACAGGCTTGTGGAGTGTACACTGCGCGCTGCGGCTCCGGCTTGACCTGCAAGCATCAGCCCGGAGAGATCCGTCCTTTGCAAGCTCTGTTGGAAGGACGAGGGGTATGCACCAGCGCAACAAAAAAAATCAACAACAATCCTAAGCCGGCGCAAAAACAAGGTAGAAAGTGGTGCTTTCCATTTGCGCATTTGTATTACTTTTCCCCCTTGTGTGTCTGTGTGGGTAATATTGACAGTCGACCTCTCTATAAGGGGATGCAGCGATCAGGCGCTCCCCCTTTATGGAAACAGATTAAGTGCGTAAAGTTGAGCATGATCTTCTTAAGGTCAATCACACATTGAAACATGCGCAAAGGTGCAATGTTTTGCTGCCAATGTAGTGGCTACAATAATAAAATATTTTCTAATTAGAGGGTTATTGGAAGTTGAAATTAATAACACCAGAACTGAATGTAAATTGTAGATAATAAATGCAGCCGCGGATTTACGCATATTTTTGAAAATCCGTTGGGTCCTGATATTTTTCTATAAAACACCCCTGACCAGATTTCTTGCTATATATATTCTAATATTTTGATTAACCTAAATACCCTCTTAACCTATGGACAATGATTGATAATTGGATACTGAATTCCTCAGAATGTTTTAAATTATAAAGTAACCTCTGTAAAGTGCATGCTGCTCAGGAGAACAAAAAACAAAAAGGAAACAAATGTTTGTATTTGGGCCCGTTATCAGATAAACCAAAATAGAGTTGGTCAGTCTGCATTTATAAATAAGATTTCAGGCAATCAACTTTAAACAAGTTTAAACTTAAAATGTTAAAGCTTAAACTGGAAGCTTTCAAGCCCTTCTTCAATCTGTCACAATCCAGAAATCTTCTTCAAGTTTTTAGCTGGCCACAGACCACATTTAGAAAATGTTATTCTTGTAAGTGGTGAACAATCAGGCAAAATTAAATGACCACACTGAAAATATTAATATTTTCTATATGTGAATCTTAGAAACCAAACATTTCCATTAAGCTAATAAAATCTTTTTAGACATTATATTATCTATATAGAAAACATGTTTTCATTAATGCTGCTAGTTTGTTGTAAATCATAATTTAATTTAAAAAAAGCCTGCCTTTCCAAGAATAACCTTTAATGCACACCTGCCTCCAACAAAGGCATCAAGTAAATGGCATATATATGTTAACCCCTTTGCCAAGAGTAAAATGCAGCATTAAGACTGCAGGACTCATCTTCTTCTTGTGACAGTTCCTCATTTACTTTTTCCTAATGGATTGGCTCCTTTACAGTGCATGCAAATAGGGATGGCACCCTTCCATAGAAAAGGGTGGGGGCCAGTATAGATCAGGTGTCTAGGGATGAATAAAATGAGGTGGGGGTTGGTTAGACTATATAAACAAGCTGAAACTCAGAAATCATAGCCCGGTATCAATGAACAACTTGAAAGCCACTTTAGGTAGTACCCTGTGTATGGTGATCAGAGTGAATACTGCTCAGATTGATGAAATGACATACTCTTACAGTATTTTCTGGTGTCAATATAACCCTGTGTGTGCTTACTGCTTTGTATGTGTCTGGTATGAAAACCCAAACACTTAGAACTGTGTTGCATCCGACTTTATCTCTGTTTTTTAACCCTTTTTATTATTTGATCAAAATCACATATTGTAGTATGAAAGAATCGTATGTGTAATCACAGTACTACCAGTATCTCCAAACATTTTGATGGCTTTAAGCACCCCTGTTGGTAAGATTATGCCATTGTAGCTCAGTGGTTACCACCCCCATTGGTTTCAATTTCCAGAGCAGCTTCTCCTCCCAGACATTAACAAGCTCCCCTGACCACAGTTTGTGCTGTTTACTCCAATGCCAGTATACAAACAAATTGCGTAATGTGTTTATCCAAAATGCCTCTGTTGTCCTTAAAAATGTTATTTATTTTGAGGATACAATTAATTCTGGCTGAAATGGTAAACTCAGGAAATGTTTCTAACGTCATTGATGTTTGAGATCAAACAGACTTTTTCTAGGGAGGGTTTTGTTGACATAAATTTTACAATTCTCAGTCTTTTTTTTTTATTATTCTTCAGCAGCACTGGCTTGCAAATTGATCAGGTAGCCACATAAAAAATGGAAGGGTGGATTGCCAGCCTGGCTACCCACATGAGCTACACACCCACATGCTTGTCCACCGCCCTCACCACAGCTCGCGCACATTAAATCTGCTTTGAGTTAGAAACAGTCTTCAGGGTTCTGGTGTGCTTTTCCATTGCCCACTTTACTGTGTGATGATGTGGTCAGTCAGGGGGCAGATCGTGGGTAGTTTGGTGCAGATCACTTATGGGAGGAGTGGCCCGTTTTTTATTTAGCTCATCTTTGACATGTTAAAATGAAACCATACCAGCCCAGTTACTTTTGATGTGTTGACTTATTGTCAACTTTTTCATTCCTAATCTTTTTACAAACACATTAGTTTTCACTTCTTACTATATATATTCCCTGGTACCTCTTTAGTTCCTCCTTTATCTACTTCACTAAAATTTTACTTATACAGAATTAAATCATTAGCTGGTTTACATAATAAGATTGGAAAAGTTTGATTTTGGTTTAGAGGTAAAGGAAATTCTTTTTAAAGGAAATACATTGTTGGAATTTTCCAACTGATTTTCCTTTTCTAGAACCACATGTGATAGAGCAACATTTGAGGCAAATATGACAAGTTTCTAATTAAACAAGCACATGTTTTGTAATATATCGCATAACCTTTTCCAGATACCTCTGAACATTGCCAAAAGAAAGAATTGACATCAGTTTGACTGTTCTAATTTTAACTGATCTTTTCAGAAAATGCAGGAAATCAGGTGGCTGATGGCACCAACATGACTGAGGCCGTGACGGTTTTGCCTGCTGAGGCAACTGTGAACGACGGGAGCAACCCAGGGTCAATGAACACGAGGCCCCCACTCCACAACAAACTGATCCAAAAGGCAGAGAACAAGAAGACACAGAGCTACAAAGTGGAACCTGTGTTGGGAGGAGCCAATAAAGACATGCACAACTTTTCCCTGGAGAACAAGAGGGAGACTGAGTATGTAAGTCACACCCAGAGGCAATAACACTTTATGTGGTGAAATATGTGTTTGGGATGATAAAAACATAGACAGAAGTAATTAAAAATTAGCTCTGCGGTCACTGTGGGTTCTGCACAGCTCATTAGATAACACATTACATTTCAATACACACCTATAAAAAGCTACCTCGCAGTTTAAATATGCCTCACATACATTTTCAGATAAATGCCTACTTTCAAAGACAAATAAACATCAAGCAAAGCAATTTATGGTCTGATCAATGTGTAATGTGGTAGAGATGTAGATCAAATATGGCAGGGGAATGGCTTTTTTTAATAACATAGTTACTTTGTTTTTAGTCGGTTTACATTTCATTTTATTTTTGGCAAAATGAAATTGCACCAAGTTCATTTTTGGCAGATATTGGATACAATTAATGTTAAGAGAATCTGGGGCAATACTCAGAATTGAATATGCTGACCAGCATGAAACATGATGTACGGCAGAAAATAATAACTAGAGGACATAGGGTGAAGGAAGTATGTTGTGGAGTGGCTTTTACTCACAAAAAGTCTGGTTAGAGGTTTTGTGAAGATGGAAGGATTTTAGTGTATGGAAAATAATAGAAAACTTCAAGACGCTGCAAAAGACTTGAGGCAATGGCCCTGAACATACAGACAGACATATATCCAGATCAAAGCAGATTCATCTGTTTAATTGACCTTGTCAAAGTATGACTGAAGCCTAATTGGAGGATAAAGCAGACATTTGATATTGTCAAATGTCAACCTCGATCTGAAAGAACTGTTGTGCCTGCAAGAACCTACTAAAATGTCATCTTTAGATTTGCAAAGACACTTAAAGCTATAATTGCAGCAAAATCGCTTCTGAAAAGTATTCAGCTAAAGTACCGAAGTTAAAAAGCAACTTCCTAGTTTTCAGATATTTCTTTGGAAAGGGAAAAAAATGTGTTTCATTTTGTTAATAAATTCTTCTCTGGCACCATGCTGTATTGGTTAATCATATCCAACCCCAATGAAATACATTGCATTTTGTTGATGTAACCTATTGTAATGGAATGTGGGAAATTCCCAGGGGCATAAATGCCTGGGCAAGGTAGCAAATGTTATTGGTGACAATATGACTGAAGCAGTACAAGGCAGAGCTTCTGTCAAACAAAAAGTGAAGGTCAGCAGACACAGGTAGCTGTAGATGTAGTTGCTGCGGGGGGCAGAAGTTTTAGCAAAGACTCCCAGACATCCCTCTCAGCAGATCTCCACCACCTCTGTTGGTCTGTTCATCTGTTGGGCTCCTGCTATATGCTCCCCTCACACATGAACAGGACCACAAGATACCTGAACCTCTCCATTTCCCTGTAGATCTATTAGACAGCATTATGAGCACTACCACTCTGGGTCCCTGAGCAAGACCTTTAACCCAGACTGCTCCCCAGGTGCCACACAATGGCAGCCCACTGCTCCCCAAGGGGATGGGATAAATGCAGAGAGTGAATTTCCCCATTATGGGACGATAAAGGAATTTACAATTCACAATTTTGCTGGGTAAGATTCTCAGTCATCCAGGTCATAGTCATGCCAAGAAAGGTTAAAAGAGTTGAGAAAAAAAAAGAAAGAAAAAGAAAAGGTGTGTTTGTAAACTTTTTTGGATATACAATTTTACAGCTTTAGCTTATGCTGGTAGCCTACAGTTGCCCAGCATTTTACTAGAATAAAAAAATCGCATATTTGACCTTAACTTTAGCTTCGCAGCCATCTATAGTCCAGATTGACAACAGAATGTTTATAATCCCTTTTGAATAATTTTATTAATGGACTGTTTTCCTTTAAAGAAATCATGTTTAAAAGACAGATAAGACCATGTCATTACTTCCTTAAAAATTACTAATCAATGTTAAACGAAGTTGCAAAGTTAAAAGGGTTTACAACAGCTAACCATCACTATCTACTTTTGTTGTTGCTGCTTTTTCTTTTTTAAGCTACATTTGGACAGGAGAACATATGGGCAAGAAAGCAACATTTTTTATTTATTTCCTTGGACTAAATTGGGAATAAGAATGGCCAGGCTGATATTTGCTCAGATAACAGACCAAGTGTGTGGAAGTCAGTTCTTTGCAACCTGAAGGATACCTAAAATATTTTTTTTTTTCTGGTTTGCTTGAGTGTTAGGTTTTGATAACCACCATGGCCTACACAGATGATGACAAAATATATTAGTCATTGTGGATTTTTTTCCATGTACCATCATTGTGATTATATTTAAATATTTCTGTGTCTTTGTTGGTCTGAAACATGATCACAGTCTGAGCAATCTCGGCGAGGAGGTCTTTGTAAGTCTCTTTTAAGTCCATACAGTATGGACATTTACTGCCCATTAACCAGCTACAATTTGCCTTCAAGCACGCTGGGTGTTGGATTCCACTGTGCAAATCTTCTTTGTTGAAAAATACTATCACTAAGCATGTATTTATTTAAAACGAAGTCTGTCCCACAGTATATGAAGTAGAGGGGTTTGATGAAAATTAGGTATAATAATATGTGATAAATGCTGTCCTCTGAATGACCAAATTAACAGTTGGTCTTTGTTATACCTTTGCCATCTACAACTGAAGAACATTGTGCCACGGTCAACACGTAGGTGGTATGCATACAGAACCTAATGCGAGTTTAGTAAAGAAAAAAACATACAAACAATGCCAAACATTGCTGAGATCTCAAATTTGTGGATAAAATCTCAAAGGCTAACTTTATGGAGTTTTTTTTTTTGTCACTGTTGTTTAGGTACAATTAGCTTTGATTACAAATATTTTGAAACAGAAGGTACCACTTTTTTAGAGTTGATATCTCATTTTGGGGCATGACCTCCTTAACCTGGACCCACCAGACAGTTCATTCTGCACCATAATCACTACTTATAAAGACTCCTTAGTACAACGAGAAAAAAAGGATGTTTTGGATTTTTGGGAGTTGTTTTGGATCAAAGAGTAAAACTAAGATTAGGTGATGTTACAAGGTCATTCTTAAGGCTTTATTGCTCAAGATAAACCCTAAAAGTTGTATGTTTGATACTCTCTGTTTCTCAAACCTCTATGTTGGTGTGTTTGCTGTTTTTCTTTAGGGGCCATGCCGACGAGAGATAGATAGCATCATGAACAGCCTGAAGATCAACAACGTGCTCAACCCTAGAGGCTTCCGCTTACCTAACTGTGACAAAAAGGGCTTCTACAAGAAAAAACAGGTGAGGGGCTCTCCCTGCCATTCCATATCCGCTTTTCCTACTACACAAACCACTCACACACAAACATCCACACACCGACACACACCTGTGGACATGCAAGTAAACCCACCACATGTCTGAACACTTCCAAAGAATCTTCAAAGACTCATCCCAACCACCCACACATGCACAATCCCCCTTTTTTTTTCCTACTCAGTTGCCTTGACAGCCACATCAACACTATATTATCAGAATGGCTAATAACCATGTATTACTCCGGTAAATGCACTGCAGTCGTCTGACTCATGCCTCACAGGAAATGAAGTCGGTCAGGTGTGTTTGTGGGTGTGTGTTGTGGAAGCGTGTGGGGGGTAGGGATGTAAAAATGTGGTCTGGGTGAGTGTGTGGCGCGGTGGATGTGGCAGCAGGGGAGTGTATGCATGGAGCTTGTTTGATGGCGGTAGTTTTTGGTGGGGGTGCTGTTGGTGAGGTAAAGAAAACAAACAGGCTGTCACTGGTTTAGATTTTCTTGTCTGTGGAGCAGCAAACCGAGGCCACCCATGGCCAGCTCATTTAAAAGACAAGAAGAAAAATCAAAACAGCGAAGGGATCAAGCATGTGTAAGTTTGCTGAAGTACAATTGCCTCAATTTTGTATAGAAAAGGTGATGGATGAAGGCTTGTGGGACAAATAAATATCATCAGCCAATTTTATGAGGCTGGATTCCAGAGAACGTATTCCAGCAAACATTTGAGTCACCAAATCAAGTATTATTACTCATAGTTCAGCTAAACCCTTAACAGACAATACTTTAAACAAGAAGGTCCTCACCCCTCTCCTCACATCCACGTTATTTTATCACTTAAGTGCTTCATTGACCAATGGGACATACCTTTCCAGAATCAGGCCCATACACTGCAGCACAAGATGTGCATTCCCTCCCATCGATCCTAACCTTGCATGCTCACATTTAAACACATTACCTGCAGTCTATTAGTTATAAATTCAGCCCACATGTATTTATAGCCCTGATAGAATAATGCTACGTTTACAATGCAAGCAGCAGGAGCAGCAGGAGCATCAAAAACGTGAATGAATTTCTGATGCTTGTACAAGTTTAGTTCTGTTGTATGGCTGAATCTTTGCTGCTCTAGCTGTACTGTCAAAAAGTGTGTCTGATGCACGTTGGGCAGAGCTACCTTACCCTTTCTTTGCAAGTAATAATGAGAGCTATATTTGCTGTAATCAGTGGGTAAAAGTAGTTTTAATATGTTTTTAAGTGAGAAAGTTCACCTAAAAACTTTATCTGTGCAGTCAGTTAATCAAGATTACGATCCTGCCTTCAAATCTTATTTTGCTGTCGGAGCCACTCAGACCCCCGTACACCGGTGGTACTCTGTCACTAGGAATCCCATTCAACAGCAGCCTGGTCGCCTCTTCACAGTTTTCTGCTAGTGTTCGTGACGGCTGGAAATAGATCTTAGCTTTTTCACACACGTAATCCAAACTGCAGGCACCAGAATAATAAAATCAAAGCAGGTTTCGACGTTTTTGGTTAATTTAGGCATTAATAAACAGATTTAGAGGAGCAAACATAGAGATCTGCATCAGAAGTGCTGTCTGTCTCCCTACTAGCTCCCAGATCAGCTTCTCTGATTGGTTGATGTGGCGCATCTAGGAGCAGGAGTTCAATTTTTCCAACTCTAGCAGCTGGTGTTCCTAAAGCGCTTCCCAAGGGTCAGATGCTTAGAAGCTCATAATGCACTGCTTCAGCTGCTCAGACGCGCAGCTTCTGCTGCTCCAAATGCGCTCCGACACCTTTTTCTGCACAAAGATACAGTACACGTCAACCATTGACTTTGCTTTTAAACTTCTGCTGCTTCTACTGCTTGCGGTGTGAGTGTAGCATAAGGCTCCAATAATTTCAGTGTGCTGAAGATAATTAAATCTCTGAGATTAATCTGTGAAAATAGCACTGGAAACATACTTAAAAACTGGCCAGCAATTACATGGCTTGATTACAGTCAACATGAATTTTATATTTATCATTTATAAAGCTAAAATGGAAATACACCACTTTCTCTTCATAAGGGCAACTTTTAAAAGATTGATTAACTTTTAAATTTTTCTTCTGACTACCTTTCAGAAATTAATTTTTTTGATGTATATATAAATATCTGCTACAAAGATCCTGAAAAATTCTCTGGTCTTCATTTGAATTCCTTCTAGCAAACTATCCCATGAACTTTTCACCAGTAAAAGTTATGGTTCTCGTGTGGGTCGGTTTCTGTAGGGCAGCAGTGTGCCTTGTCCTGCCGCACTTTTGTGAGGGAAGCAGACATGTTGTGGTAAATCTATCCAAGAGGATGTGCCTTTAAGGTGTGTTGCAGAGATTTATGACCGGGAACTTTGCAAACACGAGGCTGTGTGAATCATCTAGGGTGACAGTGCTGTGAAGGGAGTAAGAAGGCAGGGCATGGGTACAGTTGAGGGGTTATAGACATTCAATGATTTACTGTACTGTTTTTTTTTCTCTGCATCTACATTTTTTAAAGAACAAAGTCACAGATAAAATAATAAGTAACCTTTTTTTATTTTTTCCAAGAAATAAAAGGTGAACAGACTACTTCTAGGAAAAAAAAAAAAAAAGGCTTCAGCTGCCGCCTAATGGATGACCTCCGGTGGATTTAAGCTGCTATTTGTTTTACTGCTCCTTAGTAAATTCAGGGATCAGGTAGACCAATTGCATTATTTCTCATGTTTAAATTCCCTTGATACCATTGAATTAGTCCTTCATTTCTGTATTTGAAAGTAGACTTAGACAACTTTTATTCTAAGTTTGTATGCACACAGTGTATAAAAAAGGAAATTTAGTTTTGTACAGCTTTCAGAAAGTAAGAAAAATATATATGGTACAAAAATGCAGTAGAAAAACATTTTTTGAGTTGAGTTCTTTTTGGTTTGGTGTTATCAATGTGATGCAGAGTCTGTGACTTGATTTATAGTTTTTTTCAAGAGTTTCGCTGTCTGATGGCAGTGGGGAAAAAGCTGTAGCAGAATCTGCTGGACCTGCATCGGATGCTGCAAAGCCTCTTCCTAGAGGGCTGCAGGGAGAACTGTCCATGATAGGGGTGTGAGGGGTCATTGATGATGTCACGGACTCGGGACACGCAGAGCTGTGGTGAAATGTTTTTAATGGAGGGAAGTGCAGCCCTGATGATCCTCTCTGCTGTTCTCACCACTCGTCTCACATTCTTCCAGTCTGAGGCGCTGCAGCCTCCGCACCAAACAGGGAGACAGCTGCTCATAATGCTCCTTATGCTGCTTCTCGAGAAGGTTGTGTGGGGGCAGGTGGGCTCTCCTCAAGCTCTGAATGAAGAATAAGAGCTTCTGTGCCCTTTTGAAACGTTAGGTTGTGTTCATAGTCCAAATCCCCAGGATGTAATGCTCCTTCATTGCTTTGCACTGCATTCACATTGTAGTATGGATCATTTAATTACCAGATAAGCAAATCTGCCCTAAAATGTTTGGATACATACAAAAATTGCTCCTTATAAGCATCACTGCATTCATTTTCCAACTTCAGTATGGTTGCTTGATCTTATTGGATACTCTCCAAACACTTCACTCACCTCAGTGTGCTGGATGCTTGAAACTGTAAGAGAGGACTAAACAGTTTAACTGCCATCTGATTCATTTGGCAAATAATTGTCTGACCACTTGGGGACACCCAGAGCACTGAAATATTTTTTATAAAGTGGTAAGTCATTTAATTGATATCATAAAAAATATCACAGGTAAGTTGGAATAAAAAAACGTTTCTAACGCAGAGTCACATACTCTTTTGTCAAAGTTGTCTTTCTATATTTACGCATTTTCTCAAAAAATATGTTAACCATACATTTCAGTATCACCATATTTTGTAATGATAGCTTTAAAAATGAGACAATGGAGAACCACATAGCTATCATGTAGATAAACAACATTTAAAGTAAGGTCTTTGCAAAAAATGGTGTAAGCTTAAACATTGTGCGGGAGCGCATTGGCATTCATTAATAATCTGAAAAGTTTGTCACATTTAAGATTTTTTTTTACTGTGACAAACTCTTCAGATTAGCGATAATCCAAGAGTTTAAGATTTTAACTAATCTGTTTTTCTTTTCTTTATTTATGTCTAATGTTGTGCTTGTGTTTATAGCTCAGATATCTTATAAGAGAAGAGAAAGACTTCAAAAACCTAAACAGTTGTTTTCTTAAGGAGTCACAAAAGTCATGGAAGCTGATTCTGTACTTACTGGTTATGCAAAGATCAAAAAGAGGAAATCTGCAGACATGTCAGTGTGGTTTTCTCTTTTCTGGTATTATGTGTGGCACATAGAAACCTATTTTTAGCTGATGTTATATGAATTGGCTCATTTTCCCAGTTCAGATCCTGCATGGACCAACACTGACCTGCTCATTACACCCCTCAAAGCTTCACTCTCTCTTATTCATCATTTAGCACACACCCATCATTACCCCCCTTTGTGCCTTGCCTACAGTCATACACCAGCCTTTTGTTCTTCCTGCTGGCTCCATCATTCCATCCATCCTGCCCTTCCGCCCACCTGGCTTTTCCTTCCTTGTTTGGCATAGGATCACCCTGCAGAGGGTTGTGATTGGGCGGGCAGTGTCTGCGTGTACATTGTTAAAGTTAAGTCTGAGTGTCTGAGAGGAAGAGGAGGAGAAGGAGGAGGTGGTGTGTGAAGGATGCGAGCCAGGTCCCTGTGTACTCTTTTGCTTCTTCCTTCACTGGGTGATGGCAGTGCCAGGCCCATAAGGGCTGACTTATTGAGCGTGACTCAGAGGGATCTGTATAAACGTACTCTCTGACCACAATGGCTTTATAATAACTGACCAACTTTCGGAGACCCAGACATCTATTTTCACTCTGTCTCTCTTTTTGGTTCTGTTCCCTTCCCAAATTTCAAATCCAGATTTCCTTCCAACTTTTTTTAAACAAAGTCTGTTTTTCCCTCGTC